GTTCCAAAACCTGGACATGAGATTGGCCCGATAATTCTGGAGGTCGATTTTTTGGCAGCAGACTGTCACGCCATCTGGGAGCTGCAACACAAAACACAAATAATGCGTTTAATAATGGGTGTGCTGATCAATAGGTGGAGCGACAATCTGCTCACTCCCAAAAACTGCGTAAGTGAAGTGTCCTGTTTTTGATGCATGAAGCCTATGAAAAGTTTCGCAACTCGTATGATTGAATAGCTCTGTCACAGCTGTAGGTGGGAACAGGAACTGAACTGTCGTTGACTTCACTACTGTTTGTTGAGACCTGGTTTTGACCAATCGACGAGCCGTATGCTGCGTCACGTTGCCGAGTTGTTGTCACTGCGCGTGCAAGGAGCATTGTTCAGGCGTAGGAAAGGACCGCGGGAATCGTATTTCGAATGCTCTACTCTGCAATATTCAGAAAACGTGATCGCTGTGGTCTTTTCTAGGAATTACGAAGGTTGTTGGGTGGTGTAAAAAAAGTCTGAGCCTGTGGACTGGCCATTTAAAATGAAGCGCACAGTTCTTCATGGTGCCTTGCAAGGAAGCTTAGGAAACTGTTGTCATTTATTGTCTCGAAAAAAGGCAGTTAAAAAAGTTCTTAGGCAGTTTTGCATTAAATGTGAAAGAAACGTGTAATTGTTGTTTTGGTTACCTTCAACTGCACAAAAGGCCAGCAATGTTGGTATAATGCGAGTAGAGCAGGCTGGCTGCAACTATAGTTGGCTTCACAAAGAACGCTTTTTTCCATTTCACATCTTCTGATGATGTTTATTTACCCCTCCGCAATTGGCCCAGTTTTGTAAAGCAGAACAATGGGGGCTTCATCAGTGGTGGTGTCTGATCGAGGGACCAATATGATGCAAGCTTTGAGTGGTTCGACTTCCACTCCAGCCTGCTAGCAGCCAGTCACTGCTGCAATCAGCACTGTGGGTTATTAATACAGCTGTGCAGGAAAGGGATACTGAATATAATGTTGGGGCTGACATTTTCAACTAAGCTGAAAGATCAGGTGCAGTGATCAGTAGATGCAATCTTCATTTCTGGCAGAAATTAGTGGAAAATAATGGGTTGAATGCCTTTTTTTCTCAAACTGCCATAGGCTGAACTAAAGGAGGTGACATTTGTCCTTAGAAACCGGCATGTCAACCGTGCCAATCCGTCTCACTCGTACTGCAGTTACTATAAGCAGGATTTCTTTTTTTTTCCCTTTTATTGAGGTTGCTATGACTGCATTTCAAGAAATGCACAACACTGATTAGACCCATAGCCATAGGCTAGTAGGGGGTCTAACGGGAGAAAGTAAACAAGCAGAATACACTTTGTATAAAAAAAATCGGATAAAAAACGTTGATTTTTCAAAAAACGAACAAAAATACAAGAAGATAATATTGGGATTTAAGGTGATGAAAATGCTTGAGAGAACGTACAGAAATGTATATAGAACACATTGTTGCACTTTGTTAATAAACAATGAAATAGTCAAGTACAGACAAAACATCAAACTATGTGTAAGGCTTAGTACATAGTCATTACTATTGATCTACATGTAGCAAACATTTTTTGAGTGCGCTCGAGAAAGCCCTAGAATCTTTAATCTGAAGTGGTATGTTATTCCACACTTTAGCTCCTACGAACTGTAGTAAGCGTTCGCTATACACGTTTTTAGTAGGTGGAAGATTAAAATTCCACAATGTCATGCATCTAGTGACGTGGGACGAGGAAGAAAAGACAGATACATTGAAAGGTACACTGTGTGCAATAACATTGGTACACTGTGTGCAATAACACTGTGTGTTCATTGCTGGTCCGAACCAGCAATGAACAATGCAATGAACAAAGTCTCTGACGGTGGAGCACGTCTCAGTAACTTTGTAGAAGCAAGAGAGAGGAATGTAAAGAAGAGGTGGAGAAAGCGAAGTAACAGAACGGGAAAATGATCACGTTATGGGATTAATACAACTGACTTGGAAAAAAAAGATGGCTTTCACCTTTCAGTCGTCTAGGTTATAAAGGACCGTGTGACTATTTATTGTCGCTGGAATACGGACAACTACGAGACGCTGTCACTCTGACTTGAATAGTTTTTGCTTGCGTTCTTGCTTGATTGCACATAACTGCTGAGGTGCAACTTGGTAACTGTAGGCAAACGGTTAACAGCTCGCCATTGCGTCTCCCTTCTTGTGAAGTAGCCACAATGTGAAAAAGCGTTCTCTGTGAGCTGCTGGTCGGTTCTGCTTGTGGTAAAGTGTGTGCATCTGTTGTTTGTAGACTGCTTGTTATCTGCAAGGACAACACCTACCACCGTGGTTATTTTGTTCGACTGCTGACCTGAAGGTCGTGCAATGAAATCCTGGTTGCCGTGCTTGCATTTTCGATGGAGGCAAGAACTCTTGAGGCCTGTGAACTTATTTAGGTGCACATTAAAGGGCCAGTTAACAGGCTTTAACTTTTTTTACGTGCCCCAAAGAAGCTCGCCAATTCGTAGAGTAGACCGCCCCGATCACGTTTTTCGAATATTGCAGTACTGCGTGCTGCGCAGTGCCTCCATGTCGAAAAAATTTCTGCGCTCTTTTTCTATGCCTGACCAATCCTCCTTTCACGTGCAGTGATGCGAAGTTGTTGATTGGCGACTTGACATAGCATGCAGCTTGTTGATTGGTTGAAACCAATCACAAAGATGGGCTACGCCTTCCCCTCCCTGTGAGGGAGAAAGGTGGTGACGCCACGTGAAAATTTGAAACCAGCCGAAATCGATGTTCGAATCCCTGTAAATTCCTTAATGTAGCACAAAGTGGCAAAATTTTTCTGGCAGCAAAAGCGCACATATTTCTCTTTATATCAATTTTTGAACCTCAGGGTTGCTTGACTGGTCCTTTAATGGCAAACTCTGGCGATATCTTGATTCATGTTAAAGTACTGATGCTTTTATGTTCCTCAGATGCTCCTGTCATGGAGGCAATGGTAGGGATACTAAGTAAATCGTAAAATAATTTTAAATAAGCAAAAATGCACAACGCCGAAACCCAGCTAAGCAGTACTGTCTTTGCATGACATATAAGCTAGTGAGAACAGGAAATTGTGGAATGTGTGCTGGTCCCATCAGCGTGGAATATGAAAGCTGTGAACGCCAAGAAGAGCACACACTGTGCAGAAAGGTGACCACGGTGCACCAGGCATAGGGTGCCTGTGACTGACCATGCCACATGCACAAGCTCCTTCGAGCTGTCGGATAATGACAGCTGTGTTTTGTGTATCATAGCTGTCATTATCCGGTAAATGTGGTTATGCCACAATGACAAATGTGAAAAAATGGCAAATGACAAAAGTGACACCCACCACAATCTAAGCTGCATATTCACAAGGTTTATACCCCTGTCACACGGGCACTTAAAAGTCTTTTAAGTAAGCGGTCTTTTTACGAAAAGGAGTTCCTGACAGCAGACACACGGCACAGAGCGAACTCCTTTTCAGAAGCGGTCTTTTTCGTAAACTGCGTTCGTCGATCTCTTTTACGGCTCCAAATGAGTAGCCTCGAAACCAGTGGGCGCCAGCAATTTTCGAGTGGTGGGGAAAAAAAAGCGAATGCTTATTTTTCTGTCACCAAAACTCTTTGTAAAAACAAATTTCATATCCTGCAGAAGGTGTAATGAACTCTTTTAATGGTTATTTTTTTTCCTACTCTCGTAAGCAGCTACAACGCGTCGCCAATATCACGTGGTGACGCTCGATCTTGCGCTGCTTTATCTTCTCCTTGGCGGCTTTTGCAGCGTCTGCCTCGCTTTCCAGAGCGAGAAGGCAGGCCGTGAGGCTTGCGATCTTCGCTTTTTCTCCCGTACGGTCGCCCATAACGTGTCGAGAGCAGTCGAGAGGAGCGAAAAACAAATACAGTAAATAAAAGCACAGTGGTGCCAGACGGACTTGTGCACGTCGCTAGTTATGGGAATGCTTCCTTATCTAGTGCAAAAAACATTCACATTGGTGTTTCTTCATCTTTTATTCTTAAATTTATTTAAAGAAACGAGCAGTGCAACAAGTCGTTAATTGGTACATCGTGATACATCGTTTAATTTTCATTGCTTCTCTTTTAACTGCTAGCGCCACGCTTTCGCTAGCGTCTTCGAACGAAAACACTAAAAGGAGATTGTTGCTGCCGTGTGTCTGCGCCGCAAACACCTCTTTGTTAAAAGTCTTTCAACTTCGTAAAAGACCGCTTGCTTAAAAGACTTTTTGCGCGCCCGTGTGACACAGGTATTACACTCTTATTTTATCTATTACTTATCTTTCCTATTTTTTTATTGCGCCAAGCATCAACAAAGGCGTGAACATATGAAATCGTACTCTAGAGACTTCTTTAATTAAAACATTTTTATAGTCATTCTAAGCAGCACTATTCACATTTATCATTGTGGCAGTTGTCACATTTGATTTGTTTTGTGATGGCTTTGTTTGTGGCATCTTTGGTTTTGTGTGCATTGTGGAAGTGCAACGTAGCATGTATATATTGGCTTCATGAAACGACAATAAACAGTTGGTAGTCTGCGCTCTTTCCTTTCTCCCTTCTCGTTTTTCTTCAAGTTTGTGCAGCAAGTCTATTTATTAAGTATGAACCAACTAGTATGCATGAAAGTATTACTTCAACCATACTCCAGGATGTTTAGGCACCATGTATGGGTCCGTTTTACTGACTTGCACTAACTGCATAAGATCGCAGAAAATTTTCATTCATGTAGCCAGAAGATTACATAATGAGCATGCGTAAATGGCAAGCGTGTCTGGTTTATCGTTACTGGTGTCAGTTGAGCAATTAGCAATTCTAGCAGCCAGTGGGACAATACATCCTCTGCCTTGGTAACAAGGAACCTGTACACAATTCTGAGACTTATGAGTTTTTCAGACTTGATTGGGGACCATGTTTCATTCCATTTCTAGCCTGACCAATGAACTTTTGTCAAACTCTTGCTTATGTTCTCTTACAGGTGTGAGCTGTGATTCCTGTATGAAAGCAAATTTTCGGGGAAAACGTTACAAGTGTCTGATTTGTTACGACTACGACCTGTGTGGCACGTGTTACGAGGCAGGAGCAACCAACACAAGGCATACTCCAGACCATGCCATGCAATGCATTTTGACACGCTCAGATTTTGGTGGGTGTGTTTGCCTCGTTTATGGTGACCTTTCATATTTTTTGCAGTGCCAGTAGATGCTTGTAGTTGTCACTGAGTTTACTTCTATATGCTGACTTCTTATTGCTTGTTACATAGCCAATTTATGTTTTAGCAGTCGAACCAGCATATTAGCCCACATATGACAAATTTTAGGATATCGAGCAGTTGTGGAGTCTCATTGAATATCTTTTTATATAAAATATTTTATGTATATAATTACCTGTATTTTTGCAATTCTCCTCACATTTGATATAGCTGTTTGACTGTAGTTATGGTACATGACTCATTCCAGGTTAAAGTTATTCTCTTCCTTGACGGGCAAAAAATTTGTTTCATTGGTTTGGGGTGCGCTTCAATAAACGCATTTCAGACATCTTGAAATGCAGTAAAACACTGAAGTGAACAGAGCCCTATCCGGACATTACTTAGAAGACTTCACTTGGCTTGTTGCAGTGGTAGTTTTTTTGTTGTTGTTAAGGAAAAGAAGTTGGTCGAAACATAGGGTCGAAACATAGGGAAATTTTAAAACGTGCTTGTGTCTGTATCAATTGTCTGAGAGGATCAAGCATATTGATCCAAACTGCCCTTCGGGCGAATATTGTATTCAAGCTTTTAATGCGATATAATTTCAGTTCAGCTGCAATGACCACACAATAAAATGGGGAAAAAATGTAGAGTAAATGGGGAAAATGTAGAGTAAAAAAACTATAAAATTCGTACTTTTGTACAGTAATTCACAAAAGTTTTTTGAACTAAGAATGTTCACGTGGCTTGATAAAACCTAGAATGTTTTTTTTTTTGTGGTAGAAGAAAACTGGTTCATAGGTTTGCTGCACTGAGAGGCTCTGCCTAATTAAGGCACATGTCATGATTGCCATAGACTTAATTGAAGCACAGCAGCTATATTTGGAACTGTTCCCAACTTTCCTACTTTGACTTGGTGTCCCTTCGTAGCTGTGCATTGTTGCACTCTAATTTAAAGGGGTACTGACACCTTTCTTTAGAGGTCAATTTACTATGCCATACAAATCTCCTGTATATGTACTTAGACGACTCACACACTTAGCAAATGCTGATAAGATATTTCAAGGTATTTCATTTTGATATTAGTCAATTTTTTCGTGGCGCACCTACCAATATCGACACTACCGTATAAACCGGACTATAGGTCGAGTGGGAATATAGGTCGACCCGCCAAGTTCAGGTTACCGAAAAAGAAAAAAAAAAGAAAAGAAAAAGAACCCGAAATTGCCGAACGACATTTATTTGCGAATTGGGCGCACCGCACCCCGATCGTCGGAGCTCCCCTCAACCACCATCGCAACTGTTCCTATTCGTCAGACGAAGCACCACTGTCTTCTGAAGACGAGAGTTTGTCGCTGGCCGCCTCCCACAGTGCGTCATCTTCCGTGCCATACAGCGAGTTGCTGATAGAACATTTCTCAAAAGCGATTTTCAGCATGGAATCTGGCAAGGAATGCCAGGCGGAAAGCACCCAGCCACTAACAGTCGCAAGCGGAGGCCTCTGTAGGCGGCCCAGTGTCTTTGGGTTGTCGCCGTACATTTACTTTTGGTACTCCAGCCGCACTCGGTCCTTGAACGGCTTGTTTAGCACAACGTCGATCGGTTGGAGGGTGGACGTCATACCACCTGGTATGACGGCGAGGTTCGTTTTTCCATCGCCCAGTGCGCACATCACAGCGTTGGTCAAGTGACCGCTAAACGCATCTAACACCAGCATGCTGCAAAGACGCAGCAGTGCACCTGGCTGACGGTTCCAGACTACTCGTATCCATTCGAGCATCATGGCCTCGTCCATGTATCCCTGTTTGTTGACTCGAACGACAACACCGGGCGGGAACACTTTCTTCAGCATTGTCTTACGTTTGAAAATGATGAAGGGCAGTAGCTTTCTACCATCTGCCATACATGCCAGCATGACGGTGAAGCGTGAGTGCTCATTGCCAGTGGACAACAGTTTCATATCCTTGGCGCCACGCTGCATGATCATGGTCGATGAAGGCATGTCAAACCACACGGGGGTCTCATCGGCATTGTCAATCTGCCCAATCATGTAGTTGTTCTGCTCCCGAAGCCGGTTCACGAAGCCCTGAAAGTTTATAAGCTTGTCCTCGAACTCGTCTGGAAACTTCTGACAGATGGATGTGCGCCACCGGAAAAAAAATTCTTTGCGTCTTATGAATCGACGCACCCAAGAGTTTGGTGGACGAAACTCTTCTCTCGTGAGCTCAGCTTCTCGAGCGAGTTCTACAGCTTTCTTGTGAACGGTATCCACAGTCACTGGCAGCGAGCCTGCATGAACTTCCCACACAAAGTTCCCTAGCGTATTCTCCAGCTGCGGATGAACCGCACTTCGCCCACAAAATGACATTTTCCGAGGATTGCACATCTGCAGCTTCCCTTTCTGCACCCTCCAATAGCGCACGCTTTTTTCTGATACACCTAAGCGGCGCTGAGCAGCCATATTCCCATTCGCTTCTGCAAACTCAACAACCTCTAGTTTAAATGCAGCTGAGTACTGCCTTCTCGTACCACTACTCATATTCAGTGAACGAAAAAAAGACCACTAAAAATGAAACATAATGTCAAGTGGAGCGAGAACTTAGAACAGATAGAAGGCAAATCACGAATACAAAAAAAAAAACAGACGAGAGGAAAAAAAACCTGCTATTGGATTTGAATGCGAATATGGCAGTGTCCAGCTTCTCATGCACATGCAAGCCACATGTTGCCAGACAGCGGTGCACTGTCCGTTAGACACCGCTATATAAGACGAGGGGCGACTTTAGCTCGTTGTTTTATTGAAAATATCTCGACTTATATTCCGGTTTATACGGTAACTTGACACCAGGCTACAGTACCAATTCTGGTTATTTCACGTGGCAGTCGGGCTAGTTGTGATAATGTTAATCACCGAAACACGAAAAATGACAGCTTGCGCGTCGCCTTCTCAATCGTGTGTTCGCACCGTGCGGTCACTGTCATCCAGCGTACCTTTGAAGTGAGCTAGGGGAGTCTGGAATAAGGTACGTGCACGCGCCGTATTTACATGCGTAATGAACACACTTTTTGTCGAGAAATTGGAGCAGAGTTAGGGGGTGCGTATTATGGGGGGTAGATTTTATGAAAACTTTTTTAGGAGGAGTGAAAAATGCGGTAATGCAAAAAAAAAAAAAGTTGGGTCACTTAGCCTTTCGCTATTACCATACGCGTACATTTTTTGGAAATAGCTTCTTTGTTGCACTTTACTTATTTTCGGTGGCTGATGGCTCTATCTTCTGCAAGCTGGCCCCAGGCCGCCCGCACATGCCATAAAAACGTTTTGCGGCTATCTTTTCTCGCAATCGTTTAACTGCAACAGTGGTATCTGCCGTGATCTCGAGGGGAGTCCAAAAGCCTGCGCTACGTCGCTACGATGCACTTTGCCAACTTCGTGGTAACCTCTCACGACGACCGTGACGCCGCCGTTAACATTGTTGCAAACAATCAATATTGCAGCAAGCTACCCCCGAAATATCAAAATTAAATGTCGATAACAAGATTAACGACAAATTACGGCCACCGTCTCGCTTTTATATAGGAAGTTCCTCTACGCGCGGTTGACAAGTGAAGAGAGAATCGGAGGTTTTACTGTGTTGTAGAAATCACATCTTTTCTGGACGACGTGAAATTTTTTCTGGTTTTCCGAAAACCTGCAATGCGATAGTGACAAATGACCCTTCAAGATTGCAAATCTTGTTGTCGTCGCTTGAAAATCGCGGGCACGTGGTTGGGCTTTTTGAAAATGCCCGCGTCGGTTGGCGTAGGCAGTTTCGTGACCTTCGCTCGCTGTGTGCTTATTAGCACTGTTGTCTCTACGCTCGCATCGATCGTGAACCCCCGCTGTGGCACACAAATAAGATGGGGACTTGCCCTCCACAGATAGAAAGACAATACGGCACGCGGCGAAGTGGGAGAGGGAGCAAGCCGAGATGGATTGGCAAAATAATAATAAACTGAAGAGATCCAACGGGTGAGAAGGTGCCAGGTGTCAGTTAGTGGGACTGCAGCGAATGAGTGCAGGGAGTGCATTTATTACGCGGGGTAAAAAAAAATCCAAATTTTTACGACTGAAGCTGGGGGTGTGTTTATTATGTGAGTGCGTTCATTACGCGAGTAAATACGGTATACACTTATCAGACGGCAGATGAATCGTCTGATTTAAAATTTGTCATCATGGCGCCATTATTTTGCCCTGTGAAGTCTTGTGCCCGTGAAACGGGGGACCATTCATGCAAGTTCAAGCAATTGCCATCCAATCCAGCACTGAGACAAGCAAAAGTCGACTTTGTGTGCCGCGGTCGAGGCAAAATCTGGATGCCAACCAAACGGAGTTTACTCTGCTCGTTGCACTTCACTCTGGACCCGTGTACAAGCGCAACTTACAGTTGCTGACCGACTTCGAATTGTCATCAAAAAATCATCCCAACGCTGTGGCCCCCCTGTCGTGACAGTTGCCACACATGGGGTGCGCAGCAGACAACTGATGAAGCCACGTGTGGACAAGGATACGTCACGAAAACTTGCACGTGCTGATACATTCGGTTCCTACTGTATCCTGACATCACAACATGGTATGAGCAGCGCCTGGTGGTGCTGCTCATACCATGCAGGAGTGGAACAGCTGTGCCATTTGCACCAAACTTGCTTACCTGTGCCATTCTGCGCTGACCCTCCCCTGCTGCGCCAAACTGGCTTATCAGTGCCATACTGCACCGCAGCACCAGAATGCAGCCGCAAATTGTGAAAGCCATCAAGCGCTGTTCCTGGAAGTGTGGCTGAAATATTGTCTTGTTGGTTTGAGCCCCGCCACGGTGGTCTAGTGGCTAAGGTACTCGGCTGCAGACTCGCAGCTTTCGGGATGGAACCCGGCTGCGGCGGCTGCACTTCCGATGGAGGCGGAAATGTTGTAGGCTCGT